CCATGAGTCTGCTCTGGGCCCACATCGCCATGAGTCTGCTCTGGGCCCACATCGCCATGAGTCTGCTCTGGGCCACACCACCATGAGTCTGCTCTGGGCCCACATCGCCATGAGTCTGCTCTGGGCCCACACCGCCATGAGTCTGATCTGGGCCCACACCGCCATGAGTCTGATCTGGGCCCACATCGCCATGAATCTGATCTGGGCCCACATCGCCATGAGTCTGCTCTGGGCCCGCATCGCCATGAGTCTGCTCTGGGCCTACGTTGCCATGAGTCTGATTTGGGCCTACATCGCCATGAGTCTGATTTGGGCCCACATTGCCATGAGTCTGATCTGGGCCCACATTGCCATGAGTCTGCTCTGGGCCCACATCGCCATGAGTCTGATCTGGGCCCACATCGCCATGAGTCTGATCTGGGCCTACATCGCCATGAGTCTGATTTAGGCCTACGTCGCCGTGAGTCTGATCTGGGCCCACATTGCCATGAGTCTGATTTAGGCCTACATCGCCGTGAATCTAATCTGGGCCCACATTGCCATGAGTCTGATTTGGGCCTACGTCACCATGAGGCTGATCTGGGCCCACATCACCATGAGTCTGCTCTGGGCCTACATTGCCAATGCAGCCGCTGCCCATACTGCCAGGTCTCATTCTGGGCCCAAACTAACCTCTACCGCTGCCTCCATGAGTTGAGTAGACCGCTCAGCCCATTCAGCCTGCTCCCCCATTCAGTGGCTGATCTGATTTTAATCTCAACTCAACATGGCCGCACATCCCTAATAATCTTTCATCACTTTTCTCAATCAAGTATCGATCGCCCTCTGACTTCAAAACAGAGAAAGATTTTGCCTTTCGAGGAAGGCAATTGTTGGTTCACACCCTTAACCCTCCACCCTCCACCCTCAACCCTCCACACTCAACCCTCCACATTCAAACCTCCACCCTCCACCCTCAACCCTCCACCCTCCATCCTCAACCCTCCACACTCAACCCTCCACCCTCAACCCTCCACCCTCACCCTCAACCCTCCACACTCAACCCTCCACACTGAACCCTCCACTCTCAACACTCCACCCTCCACCCTCAACACTCCACCCTCCACCGTCAACCCTCCACCCTCCACCGTCAACCCTCTACCCTCCACACTCAACCCTCCACCCGCAACCCTCCACCCTCAACTCTCCACCCTCCACCCTCAACCCTCCACCCTCAACCCTCAATCCTCAACCCTCCACCCTGAACACACACACATGCGTGCGCGCACACACACACATACACACACACACCCGTACAATACCCCACAACACACCCCCACTCTCACACACTCCCCCATCCTCACCGCCACACCCATCCCTCAATACCACAACACACACCCACCCCCACAACACAGACGTTCCCGCGCACCCACTTAACACACACTCACTCCCTTTAAAACCAACAGCACGGTCCTGAGGTTAGGGATACTGGGATTTAACCCAAGGAGTGACACACCCAGCCCTGAGGGAGGATAGACTGAACTGTGGACCCAGGTGAGGATCCAGAGAGGCACCTTTCATTTGGAGGAAGTGAGTGGAGTTGAGGGAGAGTTGTTCGGAGTGAGGAGGGGGTTTGGCGAGGCCGGCAAGATGGGGGGGGTCAATGGCAACAAAAACAGAAGTTGCTGGAAAAGCTCAGCAGGTCTGGCAGCATCTGTGAAGAAAAAATCAGAGTTAATGTTTCGGGTCCGGTGACCCTTCCTCAGAACAGACCAGGAAGAGCAAGAGTCCTCTGAGGTGGACAGAGATTGGACAGTGACAGTGAAGAGGAGGGGCTGACAGCCAGGTTTCTTCGGGGGGAGAGGGTCACAGGTATTTGTGGGAGGGAACCTGGACAATGGGAATTAGCGTGTAGGGAGCAAGGTATCAGTTCAGGACAGGAGCGGTCTGACACAGTGGGTTTTTCGAGGGAACCCTGGTTATAATTGTTTGTCAGTAATGAACTAAGGCATTATTGAGAAAGACATGAAGTTAAATGTCTTTGTTTTGCAGTGATCAGTCACTGTTTTGTTTTGCAGTCACTCACCATCCTGACTTGGAAATACATCATCATTCCTTCACTGTCGCTGGGTCAAAATCCTGGAATTCCCTCCCTAATGGCATTGTGGGTCAACCCACAGCAGGAGGACTGCAGCGGTTCAAGAAGGCAGCTCACCACCACCTTCTCAAGGGCAACTAGACCAGTGGCATTCCGCAGGGATCGATGTTGGGACCTTTGCTATTTGTAATATAAATAAATGATTTGGAGGAAAATGTAACTGGTCTGATTAGTAAGCTTGTCAATGGCACAAAGGTTGGTGGAATTGCGGAGAGTAATGAGGACCGTCAAAGTATACAGCAGGATATCGATCGGTTGGTGACTTGGACAGAGAGATGGCAGGTGGAGTTTAATCCAGTAAAATATGAGGTAATGCATTTCGGAAGGTCTAATCCAGATGAAAAATATACAGCAAATGGCAGAACGCCTAAGAGTACTGATAGGCAGAGGGATCGGGGTGTACAGGTACACAGGTCACTGAAAGTGGCAACGCAGGTGGAAAAGGTAGTCAACAGGCATACGGCATGCTTGCCTTCATCGGCCGGGGCATTGAGTTTAAAAATTAGCAGGTAATGTTGCAGCTTTATAGAACCTTAGTTAGGCTGCATTTGGAATATTGTGTTCAATTCTTGTCGCCACACTACCAGAAGGATGTGGTGGCTTTGGAGGGGGTACAGAAAAGATTTACCAGGATGCTGCCTAGTATGGAGGGCATTAGCTATGAGGAGAGGTTGGAGAAACTTGTGTTGTTCTCACTGGAACAACAGAGGTTGAGGGGGGACCTGATAGAGGCCTACAAGATTATGAAGGGCATGGACAGATTGGACAGTCAGAAGCTTTTTCCCAGGGTGGAAGAGTCAGTTACCAGGGGCCATCGGCTTAAGGTGTGAGGGGCAAGGTTTAAAGGTGATGTACAAGGCACGTTGTTTTTACAGAGAGGGTGGTGGGTGTATGGAACTTGCTGCCGTGGGAGGTAGTGGAAGCAGATACTATAGTGACTTTTAAAGGGCGTCTTGACAAATACATGAATAGGATGGGAATAGAGGGATATGGACCCCGGAAGGGTAGGGGGTTTTAGTTGTGATGGGCAGAATGCCGGCGCAGGCTTGGAGCGCCAAAGGGCCTGTTCCTGTGCTGTAATTTCTTTGTTCTTTGTTCTAACAAAGGACTGGCAATAAATACTGGCTCAATTATCAATACTTACTTTTTCAAAATGACAATTGAAAAGGGCCAATTAGGCATGAGTTCTGGGGTTTGGGAAGAGAATGGAGGTGTTTGAAAGGAGAATAGCTTTTTCTGAAAAAGACATAACAATCAAAAGCTTCTGATTGATACTGGGTGATTGATACTGGGTGATTGATTGCTGGGTGATTGATACTGGGTGATTGATACTGGATGATTGATACTGGGTGATTGATACTGGGTGATTGATACTGGGTGATTGATTGCTGGGTGATTGATACTGGGTGATTGATACTGGGTGATTGATACTGGGTGATTGATACTGGGTGATTGATTGCTGGGTGATTGATACTGGGTGATTGATTGCTGGGTGATTGATACTGGGTGATTGATACTGGGTGATTGATACTGGGTGATTGATACTGGATGATTGATTGCTGGGTGATTGATACTGAGTGATTGAGTGCTGGAGAGAAAGAGCCAGAATCCAAACCAAACAAATCTGAACGAGAGGGTGTTTACCTTTCTGAAACTCTCAGCCGGTGAGCGGCAGGACAACGATGATCATCGACAGTGTTACTCAGTGTTGGTGCATCACCCAGCTCTTACACATCGCCTGAGATTTATATAAACATGCTCCATCTGCAGTGAGATTAAACTCACACATATAGGCAAACAAAGACTCATTGTCAGAGACAGATGGATTCTGATATCTGATATTTACAAACACACTGTGTGGGAAATGGACTGTGATTGTGGGAAAGGCCACTGGGTTCAGAGAAATTCAACCCTCAGTTCTAAAGTCAGAGTCTCTCAGGATCAGCAGCTGGAATTGTGTTCATAGAGGAACTGAGAATACCTCAGAGAGAGTCTGTCAAACCCCAGATTACAACCAGGGACTTCAGCAATCAGTAAAATACTCCATCAATTCAGACCAGAGTACAGCTCCCTCTACACTGTCCTCATCAAATACTCCCAGAACTGGAACAGCACGGGTTTAGATACAGAGTGAAGTTCCCTCTACGCTGACCCGCCAACAAACACTCCCAAGACAGGGACAGCATGGGTTTAGATACAGTGTGAAGTTTCCTCTACACTGTTCCCCCATCAAACATTCTCAGGATGGGAACAGCCTGGGGTTAGATACAGAGTGAAGCTTCCTCTACACTGTTCCCCCATCAAACACTCTCAGGATGGGAACAGCCCGGGGTTAGGTACAGAGTGAAGCTGCCTCTCAGCAATAAGCGGGGGAAGATTGCGGAGTACTTGGAAGTGCAGGGTAAAATAGGGCTGAGTTAGCACAGCTTCATCAAGGTGAGGTCATACCTGTCAAATCTGGTAGAATTCTTTGAGGACATAATGAGCACGTTAGACAAAGGAAAGCCAGGGAAGGTGATCTATTTGGATTTCCAGAAGATCTTTGACAAGTTGCCACACAGGAGGCTGCTAAATAAAAGCCCAAGGTGTTAGGGCAAGGTACTGGCATGGATAGAGGATTGCCTGACTGGCAGAAGGCAAAGAGTAGGGATAAAGGGGTCTTTTCCAGGATAGCAGCCGGTGACTTACGGAGTTCCGCAGGAGTCAGTGTTGGGACCATAACTAATCATGTTATACATTAACAATCTGGACAAGAGAATTGAGGGCATTGTTGCTGAGTTTACAGATGACACAAAGATAGGTGGAGGGACTGGTAGTGTTGAGGATGTGGGGAGGCTGCAGCAGGATTTGGACAGGCTGGGAGAGAGGGCAAAGAAGTGGCAGATGGAATACAAGGTGGGAAAGTGTGAGGTTTGATAGGAAGAAGAGAGGTGCAGTCTATTTTCTTAAAAAGGGAAAGGCTTCAGAAGTCTGAAGCACAAAGGGACTTGGGAGTCCTAATTCAAGATTTTGTTAAGGTCAGCATACAGGTTCAACTGGCAGTTAGGAAGGCAAACGCAATGTTAGCATTTATTTCAAGAAGGCTGGAATACAGGGATGTGCTGCTGAGGCTGTTTAAGGCTGTAATCAGACAGTATTTGGAATATTGTGAGCAGTTTTGGGCCCCGTATCTAAGGAAGGATGTACTGGCCTTGGGGGAGTTCCAGAAGAGATTTACAAGAATGATCCCAGGGATGAAGGACTTATCATGAGGAGCAGTTGACGACTCTGGGTCGGTACTCGATGGAGTTTAGAAGGATGAGGGAGGTTTC